TAGTTACTAATATCTACTAGAAATAATTAGATATAATTAAAAGATTTATATTATAATTTAATATATTTAAAATAAAGTTAATTGATTTATATATATAATATATATATATATTTATTTAAATTATATTAATAATATATAGATCTACTAATACTTACTAAAAATAATTAAATATAATCAGGAATTTTATCTTATAATCTGATATATTTTAAATAAATAAATTTATATATAAATTTATATATATTTATTTATATTAGATTTATAATATAAATTTATTATTTACTAATATCTACTAGAAATAATTAGATGTAATTAGAAGATATATCTTATAATTTAATATATTTAAAATTAAGTTAATTAATTTATATATATAATATATATATATATTTATTTAAATTATATTAATAATATATAGATTTACTAATACTTACTAGAAATAATTAAATATAATCAATATATTTACGGAATTAATAAATTCCAATACTTATACAGTAATATATAACCAGAATTCCCCAGGTCGTAATTTCAATTATTTTTTTAATTCTAATTAGAATTTCTAGTAAAAATTAGTAAAAATACTGTAAATACAAGAGCTCGCCAGGTTTACTACCTGGTGAGACAGTGTATTTTTACAGCTTAGTTTTTCTGATAGTCAGTATTAGTAATAACCAGGTCCCATACTGGTAAGAACCAAAAATACGTACGACCTGGCGACCTGGGGACCTGACGACCCCTATGAAATGATTATCGAGCAATGATTTGCAATGTATCATCACGTCTACAAGGTAAAACACAACTATTGGTCTCAAAAAAACAGAGACCATACCAGTGCTTCTTGCCGACGTACCCCTCCACCATTACCCCCAGTGCTTGAAGCAACACTTTGCAGTCATGAGGATTCACCATGGATTCTGACTGATAATCAGACAAGATTTCATCTTCGATATTATCTACTCAGACCAGAATGAACCCCGGTAAGGTCAAGTGCGGATTGCAGCAGAGCAGCCATACTATGTCTGCAGACGGACAGGATGTATTTACCGGACCTTCATTGCATATGAGTGGGAAAGCAAAACCACCTAGCTATTCCTTCACATTGAAGATCGAATGACAGTCACCTACCATCACAGTATCTTCCAACGTCTCCAGCCTTCAACTTCCCAACTGCCCTATTCCAAGGTATCAACCTACCACCAAAGGTAAGGATGTGTGAGATATCCGTCTCTGTGGACTAACGTGAAATCGAAAGAAGCAAGTCAAAGCCTTCCCGAAGTCGCTCTCTATCTTGCCGTCCGAGTTCTCCATTGCCTGCATTCTCGATCAAACGCGTTGCCTTTTCCAGTTTCGCCGGAAATACCTTTGCAACCAGTGCCTGCACAATTTCCCTTCGAGCCGCGGGTTTGTCGATCGCGAGCAGGATTGAAGCGAAGATATGTGTTTTATTCACAAATCTCGCATCGCCGACCTTATTGAGAAGTCCCTGCATCTTGCGATTATAGAGCAGCCGGTACCATCTCAACCGCTCTGCCGAATCCTCTTGAGTATCCAGAGACTTTTCATGCTCTACTGGGTCCATATCCCTCATGATCCATTTAGGGAATGTAGCATAGCCCAGGAACCGTGGCATGGTCTGCACCTCATCCCAGTCAATGATTCCACTCACATTACACTGCTCATCGACACGGATGTTCGTGGAGTCAAATTGTGGCACTGCAAGCACGAATGTCTCATCCTTTTCGTCTTTCTGGCTCGTCGACAACGGCATGCATCCGATCATCATTTCCAGCATTATAAGACAGCCAACGTCAAATGCACCTTCTTCTTCTTTCCCGCTGGGTGATCTCAAAAGGCGCTCACGCAAAAAGTCCACAGTGGACTCGTAAGGACCATACTCCGCATACAGCACATCAGTCCCGGACCCCTTCCGCGAATGGTAGCATGGAAGCACCCGAAGATCGCCATGGACATCCGGTCCCAACGTACCAATTCCGTCGAAACAGAACCTGTGCAGCTTTGCCATAGTCTCTGCGACACTGTCTAGTATGCGCAGTCGCTTTTGGTCCAATGACATTGCTCCTGAGTCGTCGAACCAGGCATCCGAGACCAATGTTCCTGGGACAAAACTCTCAACAATGTACGGTGTTTCCAAGACATTTTCTGATGAGACATCGAAATCGTACACTTCTGGCATGGGGAAATGGGCTCGCTTCTGGATAAATTGCATCATTTCCACCTTCGCAATCAAGGCACTTTTGGCAGTCTCTGTGCAGTGCCCTG